CATCTTCCTTTTATGACTTTTTATTGAAATTTTGGTTTTGCTATGTCATATTTCCTCAACATTGATTTTTAAATTATTTCTATCAATTTGTATTGTTCTAAAGGATATTGCAAAATAAAAGTAAAATATCTATGCAAGAAATAAACTGTAAGCTAACGACCTTGTTCTGCTACATATATAAATATTTCAAAAGTAAACATAATTTTCAAAATTACTCTTTTCAAATTATAAACGAATGTATCTAAATAAAATTTAAAAATGAAGAAAAAAGAAAGAGAAATAATAATTGAATTGCTGTGAAATAATTTTTTTTTTCTGAATCGATTGTTATGCGCATATAAATAACAATAAATCGTGCTTATCGAACTTTAGAGGTTTATTAAAAATGAAAAAAAATATATTCTATTACGAAGACAGATTTAGTTAAAAATTTGTTTATAATTATTTCTGAAAAACAACACATTGTACTTTATTTTCGTTTATCATAAACTTTGATGAAAAAAAAAAAAACAACATCATATTGTACATTTTTCAAAATGAATTATTTTATTGATAAAAAAAAATAAGATTAATCACACGCGTTTCTTATAATATTATTTGGATAAATAATTATGTTTAGCAAAATTTAAAATTTATGCATTGTCGGACACGTTTTATGTAAAATTCAATTTTGCAAAATGTGATCGACCTAGTCATCTTTTATTATTATTAAAATATTAAAATTGTACATTGACCAGAGTTACATAATAAAAATTGCAATTTTTTTTGTCATCTTTTACAAAAAAGTAACTGTAAGGTATAATGAGCATTGATCAAAATCCTTATAAATAATTTGTTACAATTGGTGACAAATCATAAGTACTGCGGTCATCTGTTTTATTATAAATAATTTTTCATTTTCTTTTTTTTTTCTTTCATTTAACACACACACACACACAAATCAATCTTATAAAACATATTTTCTCATCGCTATACATTTTGTTTATCATTATTTAAAATAATAGAAATAGTAAATATGATAATTAGAATTAATAATTTTGAAATGAAATAAATTATATTCCACAATAATCTAAGATATGATAAAGCATATCTGCAGTAATCTTTGGATTATTAAAAATCATTTGTTTAAAYAACAAGTTTTCACAAAATTGACTACGATAAATTGTAATATAATAAATACATTGAGTTTTTAAGTGTTTCAAGTTGCATCTGTCAGCAAATTTAAGTATTTCAATAACGTTATCTTTATTCATATGTAGTATCATCATTTCGATCAATTTATTTTTCAAATCATCGATCTTATATTTATCCGCCGCTAGTAATAAATCAAAAAGAAACGTCAGTTTATCTTTGTGAAAGACAATTTTGTCAGTTTCAGCTAAGTACAGATACTTCAATATAGCTTCGAATATTGCAGGATCCATGTCTTTGATATTRATAATCTTTACATTATTATCTTCCTTACTATCTTCAAACATTTCTACGARATTAGGATACCTTCCAACTATCGCTTTATGTGCTAAAAATTCAGTATTCTTKACATATATTCTCAGATCGGTAAATTTCTTCTCTTTGTACATATTTTTCAAGCGTGTGTATAGCTCAGATTTATTTGATACTACAGGTTGATCTATATCTATCATATGTTTGATATGAAATTCAAATGTGATATTACAATAATTGTAAAAATCTATATCGTTAATAGTAAAACAAGTTCCATGGTTATCGTTCATTCGTTCTACTTCAAAATCATTACTTATTCTATTTGCTTCGTGGAAAATTATAACATCTTGAAAACTTGGCCTGATATGAAATGATTTTTCGTCGCCTCCTCTTATTATCACGGTAAATATAAGTTCGTTACCAATCCAAGCTACTAATATTACACACGATAATATAGTATCATGTAATAGAAATTCTGAAGTAGTAAAATTTTGGTCAGTCTTTTTATTAATTAGTCTGACATAATTGAATACGGTCTTAACAAACTCTGGTTTGTCAAGACAAACGTCTTTGACTGGCTGCAATGTAGCATCTTCCGAAATGTTACTAACCATATTTAACTAGAATAATTAKAAATATCAACAGGCACTTTAATATTTCTTATAATTATAAGAATAATTCAATAAACGTAATAAATTTTATATTGTATTACCACTTTTCACTATTTTACTAACAGTCAATATAACAACTCTGCGGTAAGGTCTAAATCTTTCAAACGAATGAAATTAAATCGTTAGTATAATTATGTATAGAATAAATCTTCTYTGTTTATTATTAAACTGATACAATTTGTAACGAATATTTATAAAAGTAAGTGTTATGTGTATCCAATGAATAGTTATCATCTATCTCTCCKCGTTATTATTATTTGAAATAGATGARCCTTTTTTGTTCTATCATCTTCCTTTTATGACTTTTTATTGAAATTTTGGTTTTGCTATGTCATATTTCCTCAACATTGATTTTTAAATTATTTCTATCAATTTGTATTGCTCTAAAGGATATTGCGAAATAAAAGTAAAATATCTATACAAGAAATAAACTGTAAGCTAACGACCTTGTTCTGCTACATATATAAATATTTCGAAAGTAAACATAATTTTCAAAATTAGTCTTATCAAATTATTTCTATTATTTATTATAAACGAATGTATCTAAATAAAATTTAAAAATGAAGAAAAAAGAAAGAGAAATATTAAGTGAATAGTTGTAAAATAATTTTTTTTTCTGAATCGATTGTTGTGCGTATATAAATAACAATAAATCGTGCTTATCGAACTTTAAAGGTTTATTATTAAAAATGAAAGAAAATATATTTGATTACGATGACAGATTTAGTTAAAAATTTGTTTATAATTATTTCTGAAAAATAACACATTGTACTTTATTTTCGTTTATAATAAACTTTGATGAAAAAAAAAAAACAACATCATATTGTACATTTTTCAAATTGATTTATTTCATTGATTAAAAAAGGAAGATTGATCACACGTGTTTCTTATAATATTATTTGGATAAATGATTATGTTGTGTAAAATTTATAATTATACATTTTTCTGTTACATTTTATGTAAAATTCGATTTCGCAACATTCGATCAACCCATTTATCTTTTATTATCATTAAAATATAAAAATCGTACATTATCCAATTACATAATAAAGATTGTAATTTTCTTTGTCTCCTACTACAGAAAAGTAACTATTAAGTATAATGAACATTGATTATTTAAAGGTGTATACCAAATTTCATCTCTAAATCTGACGTCAATTTAACTTGAACGTTCTATTCGAGATAACAGAAGGAAATAGACAAAAAGAAAAAAATAGAAACGAGAATTTTAATCGATTATAAATTATTTTTCTAGTAGACATTGTATTAATTGAAACTGGATATTAGGATTTGCAAACATCATTTCTTTAAACATTTGATTATGGCAAATTCGGGAACCAAAGAGTTTTATAAATGTCACACAAGAGTGTTTCAAATTATTTGTATTATATTCCAAAGCAATATATAGATAATATGCGACGTTATTAACATTTATAAATTTATTTGCAACATAGCCTAATATCGCTTTCATATCATCGATCTGATACATATCCGCTGCTTTTAATATATTTGCCAATTTCCACTTTGTCGGATCTTTATTATCAAACTTGTTAATTTCTTGAATATCGTCTATTTCGCCAATATACAGAAATTTTAATATAATTTCAAATATTGTTGGTTTTACACCTGTGATGGTAACAACATTTTGATACTTCTCTTGCATTTCATGTTGAAACATAGCTTTAAATACAGGACTTCTAGCAAGTATAATCTTATGTACAGCGTATCTTTTATTCTCAACAATTAATTCCAAATCCGTAAATTTTCTTTCGTACATTTCGAATAAGTGTTCGTAGATTAAAGATTTTTTTGGCATTATACACAAGTCCAATGGTACAGTAGGTACATAATGGATGGTAAATTGAATTTCAAAAAAGCCGATTGAATTGAAGTATTTTTCTTGTTGATTTAATGACCACTTTATACTGGATCCGATTACACGCAATTCTTCAAGTTCCTCATCTTTGTTGATTAATATTGAAGTAACCATCGGTCGTACTTCATACAGGGCTTCTTCAAATTTATTTACCAAAGTAATAAGTGCTTCATGGATACGGAATTCCATTTTTATATGACACATTAGTTCACTTCCAGATAAACGAAAAAATGGAGTAATAACTCCTCCTTTACAATCAGAATTTACTACAAAGGTAACAACGGTATAAAGATTATCAAACTTTGAAGTATTTTGTCGACACTTAATATTCGATAAAATGAATTTAAATTTTGAAAGAGTACTTGCATCCATATTTTACGATCTAAAGGTGATAATTACACTTTTAAATAATTGTTACATTAATAAAACGTGAATCGATTAACGCTTATATTTACTTTCCTAATCATCACGAAATGATCTTATTATTTATTCGAGTTATTAATTATCTAAATTAATGGTAACGAAATGATACTAAAGTTTAAGATGATTGTATATAAAAGTTAAACGTTTACGTATTATCTAATAATAGTAATTTGAAACAATAAGTTATAAGACTAGCGTTAGATATCACGAAACATTTAGAATATATATAATTTTGTAATAATTATTATTGTTTATTCTATATCTCCCCACTCCCCTATTCCTATTTCTGAATGTTATTGCGTTTATCTGAACTATTCGTTTAAATTTTGTTAGCACGGAAAATAAACGTTATAATATTACGCATATTGTTTTGAATCACCATCGTCTGCTTCGTCTTTATTAATGCATGTGTTACAGTTCTTCCATGTAAGAAACGATAATTACCAACAAAGGACATGTAAAATTTCTATGAGATTGTTACCTACGAAAGTTGAAACAACGTTGAAAAGTTATGTCGATTAAATTTGAAAACTATTTGAAAGCAAATATAGATTGTCTAATGTTTATTTCGTATAGTCGAGGAGTAATGCAAAGAAAATATCACGTAGAAATTTTGAAAATCACGTCGTATCATTCAGAACATCCTACATGATCTAACGAACGTATGTAAACCAATGAACAAACACAAAGAAAAGTTCGTTGAATTATCACATTTATTTTTGCCATAGTTTCTTGTTTATTAATACAAAATTTAATGGAATTACATGAGATACAAAATTAAACATATTAAAAAATTAATAAATGATATACCAAACGTATCATTAAGAATGATTTTTCATCATGTATACAAGCAGTTCGCTTGTCAAATGTAGATTATGCTCTTTTATTAGTTCTTGGAATGATGTGGTGTCCACAACTTTCTTACAATTACTTTTTATATAGAGCATACATTCTTTTTTCAGATTCGAAATGTTAAATTTATCCGATAATATAAGAAATTTACTAACATTTTCCAGGTGTATATACTTTATTGCTATATTAATTAATTCCTCTTTCAAATATAATATTTGATACATATCCGCTGCCATTATTAAATTTATAAGAAAATCTTCTCCAAGTTTTTTCAATTTGATTCGGCCAGTTTGACCAAAATAAATAAATCTCAATATGATCTGAAATATCGCTGGATCCATTTCCCTGATATAAATAACGTTCGTCTTACTTTCTAGCATTTCATTTTGTAACATGGCTGCGAATACAGGATTATTGATAAGTATCACTTTATGAGCCGAGAATTCTTCTCCCTCAACATTTATTATCACGTCTGTAAATTTTTCGTCTAAGTAGATGTCTTTTATTTTGGAAAACACCGTTCCACTTTCATCACTAATATTTTCGTAAGCTTTTATTTTATACGCGACAGTTACTTCAACATAACCAACTTTATGTGGATTGATTCTTTTGTCATCAGTTGGAGTTTCCTCTGAGATTGAAATATTTCGTATAAGCTGATTTGCAGTATCATACAATGAAACATCTTTAATGCGTGGTGTATCAATACAGAAATGTTCGTAATCGTTTAAAAATTCTAAAGAATAACATGGGCTGTAATCTTGTAACGTTAGTGATACTCGGCAAAGTAATCTAGTGCCTTGTAATTCAAATGCACAAGATCTATAATCACCAGAATTATTGTTTTCAAATGAAAGTGTTATGATTGTCATACTATCTTGTATTTCTTCAATATCATCATCAAATAATATAGAATCTTTTCTTTTATCACTAGACATTTTTTTACTCTTAAAATCACTACAACTTTGACAATCAACGCAAATTATAGGTGTAATCACATCGATATAATATTTTCGGTAATCGCCAGTGCGCTAACTTTTGCAAATGAACCGTCGTCAAATGAACTCCGATAGGATATACATATGGATTCAGTGTTCTTTTTACATACGGGTAATAAGAGTGGGGAGTCTTGGCGTCTGCTTCGTCTTTGTTAGGCTATGTGTTACAGTTTTTACATATAACGAACAATATATACCAACAAAGGACATGTAAAATATCTATGAGCTTGTTACCAACGAAAATCGAAACAACGTTGAAAAGTTTTGTTGATTAAATTTGAACAAAATTTAAAAGCAAATATCGATTGTCGAATGATTTTTTCGTCCAGTCGAGGAGCAAAGTAAAGAAAATATCACATAGAAGTTTGAGAGAATCACGTCGTATCGTTCAGAACATTATACATGATCTAGCGAACGTATGTAAACAAATGAACAAACACAAAGAAAAGTTCGTTGAATTGCAAAAAAAAAAAAGAAATAATAAATTCGTATTAGGATTTAAAAGGGGATTTTTATGTTCTTATTATTTTTTTTTTTTTTTTATGTGATAAATCATATTTATTTTTGCCATAAAAAATTTCCTGTTTATTATTACAAAATTTAATGACAATACATGAGATAAAAAATTAACCATAATAAAAAAAATAATATATGATAAACTAAACATATTATGAAGAAATATTTTTTATTACGTATACAAGCAATTCGCTTGTCAAATGTAGATGCTCTTTTATTAGTTCTTGAAATGATAAGGTGTCCACAACTTTGCCAGGATTATTTCTTATATACAACATACACTCTTCCTTTAGTTTCGAAATGTTAAATTTATCTGACATTATAAGAAATTTAATAACATTTTCCAGGTGTATATACTTTATTGCTATATTAATTAATTCCTCTTTCAAATATAATATTTGATACATATCCGCTGCCATTATTAAATTTATAAGAAAATCTTCTCCACGTTTTTTAAAATTGATTCGGCCAGTGTTATCAAAATAAATAAATCTCAATATGATCTGAAATATCGCTGGATCCATTTCCCTGATATGAATAACGTTTGTCTTATTTTCTAATGTATCATTTTGTAACATTGCTGCGAATACAGGATTATTGATAAGTATCACTTTATGAGCCGAGAATTCTTTTCCCTCAACATTTATTATCACGTCTGTAAATTTTTCGTCTAAGTAGATGTTTTTCATTTTGGAAAACACCGTTTCATTTTCATCACTAATGTTTTCGTAAGCTCTTATTTTATACGCGACAGTTACTTTAACATAACCAATATTATGTGGATTGATTCTTTTGTTATTAGTTGGAGTTTCCTCTGGGATTGAAATATTTCGTATAAGCTGGTTTGCAGTGTCATACAGAGAAACATCTTGAATGCGTGGTGTATCAATACAGAAATTTTCGTAATCGTTTAAAAATTCTAAACAATAACATGTCCTGCAATCTTGTAACGTTAGTGATACTCGGCAAAGTAATCTAGTGCCTTTTAGTTCCAATTTAGGAGATTCATAAACGCAATTATAACTTTTTCCTAATGAAAAGGTAAATACAGTTATCGTATCTTGTATTTCTTCAATATTATCATCAAATACTATAATATCTTTTCTTTTATCACTGGACTTTTTTTTACTCTTAAAATCACGACTACATTGACAATCAACCCACATTATAGTCGCGATCACTTCTATAGAATATTTTCAGTAATCGACAATTCACTAACTTTTGCAAATCAACCGTCGTAAATGAACTCTGATGGGATATAGATGTAGATACAATGTTCTTATGATATACGGGTAATGAGAGTGGGGAGGGGCAACTTCTAACGCTAATGTAAAGGAAGGACGGAAGGGCGAAGGCGTATCTGATTAAAGCTTGTTTAAACAACGGACAAACTATCTTAACCCATCTATTTATAATCTCTAACGAAATATATTAACTCACAAATACAATGGACATAAATATCCTATAGTTTCTTACTATACAAAAAAAGAAACATAAAGCGGACTATCCTAAAATTGTAAAATAATTTTTTACGCACACAGAATACATCTTCAAATATTTATTTCTTCCTTGGTGATTGATGCTTCAATGTTTCTCCTGCACCCCACCAATCTGATTCGAATAACGTGTCTTTTAATAATATTTTACATTTTCATTTTCTAGAAAATTTTGTTCGTAGTCTCTTACTCTCTCTTATAAGAATTTTTCTTTAATTATAATTATAACAACAATAACAATTTCATTATTTTTCAACGTTTTCTTTTTTTTTTTCACGTAAAAACTTTTTTTAAATCGAGATGATTTGTAACTTGATGAAACAAAAAAGTTACACTAAACATTTTGATTTTTCTTTTAATCTTATTCTTTTTCTATTTCTTTTTATATCGGAAAATATCGTTTCCAAGTGTGAATGTGCATAAGTATACAAATATTTCTAAATTTGTTTCAAATTCAAAACTACATCACATTGTTATTTTTCGATTAAGTGTAGGAATACTGTTTAAAAAAAGGGAAAAAAGAATTATTATGATGATGGCGGTCGTGGTGATGGTGGTAGTGTTTGTATAGTTGTGTTTATGATTTGAATATTGGATTCAAAAAAAGGAAATACTTAACGTTCGTCATCTTTATTTAATGATATTGAATTAAAACATCAGTCGTACTTAATACTAGGCTTCTTCAAATTTATTTACCAAAGTAATAAATGCTTTATCCATAAGGAATTTCATCTTTATATGACAAATTTGTTTACTTCCACATAAACGAAAAAATGGAGTTATAACTACTAATTAAAAATTAGAATTTATAGGAAAGGTAACAACAGTATAAAGATTAGCAAACTTTGAAGTATTTAGTTGAAATTTAATATTCGTTAAAATGAATTTAAATTTTAAAACAATCCTTGTGCATTTATATTTTACTATTTAAATGTTACAATTAAAATTTCATATTATTGTTACAATAATTAAACGGGAATCGGTTAACGCTTATTTTTACTTTCCTAAGCATCACGAAAAGATCTTATTATTTATTCGAGTTATTAATTCTCTTAATTATTGGTAACGAAAAAACGGTGTACTAAAGTTTAAAATGATTGTATATAGAAAGGAAACGATTACGTATTATCTAATAATTATAATTTGAAATATTTATTCTTGCC